ACATGCCTTTAATCTCAGTGCTTGGGGGCAGAGGCAGGTGGATTTCTGTGAGTTCAAGGCCAGCCAGAGCTGTTAAACAGAGAAACCTTGTCTCAAAACCAAACAAAAACAAACAAAAAACAAAAAACAAAAAGAAAAAGCCCATTAAATAAAAGCCACAACTTTTCTGGTATAATTTTTTGGTAGTGCTGAGGATCTGTCTTATAACCTGACACACATTAGGGAAATTCTCTACCATTCAGCTACATCCCTTGGACAGTTTAAGGGGAAAGAAAAAGGCTTTGGGATCAGGGAAAATTTTTGCCTGAGGACATTCTTCTAGGATATGGAGAAACACTTTGGTGAAGGCACCATCTGCATTTTTTTTTTTTTTTTTTGGTTTTTTGAGACAGGGTTTCTCTGTGTAGCTTTGCACCTTTCCTGGGACTCACTTGGTAGCCCAGGCTGGCCTCGAACTCACAGAGATCCACCTGGCTCTGCCTCCCGAGTGCTGGGATTAAAGGCGTGCGCCACCACCGCCCGGCCATCTGCATTTTTTAAAGAACTCATTGACACAGTTCCTATATCTGCAGACTAGGGGATGATGGTAGATTTTACCACTGTGTTCTTTGAATTCAAACTACACTAACAGATACCAGGAAACAATGTGTATCCACCAAAACCAAGGTGAATACAGTACTAATGTGGCAATCAGAATGTCTTAATTCCCAGAGTTATTTGGTTGTGGCTATTAATCACAGCGAATTAATTAGATATACTCCTTATTTAAGTAAATTTTGATCTATGGAATCATAAAAACAGCAACTCTGGTAAACACAGATATGACTTGAACCACTTCGGGAGGGTTTATGGCCTTCAGCTAGTGTCTGGACATGAACTATAGTACAGTCCCCCTAGAAATAGACCATGTGACATAACTGAAAATCTATCCTGCGATTTTTCTTCCCTTTTCTTTCAAAAAGAAGTCATAAGCTCCCTCCCAACCAAGGGCATGAAGGAAAGAAGATTTCCCTTTGAGGAATCCCTCCATACCGGCAACAAGTATGCTAATGCCTGTGGGTCAGAGGGAGCTTAGGAAGTTATGATTAACCCAGTTTTGGCTCCAGTACAATATAGTGATTCTAGGTAACCAACTGTACTTACTTCTTTACTTTCTGGGAATCTCTGCTTGTTTTGTGTTTTGGTTATTTTTCTACTGCTGTGATAAAACATCATGACTAAGGCAATTTATAAAAGGAAGCATTTAATTGTGGGCTTGCTTACCGTTTCAAAGGATTAGTCCGCGATCATCATGGTGAGGAGTGTGGCAGCAGGCAGGCAGAATGGCACTGGAGCTGTAGCTGAGGGCTCACATCTGATCCACAAGTTGAAGGCAGAGAGAGAGACTGATTGGGCCTATCATGGGCTTTTGAAACTTCAAAGCCCATTCCCAGTGACACATTTCCTCCAACAAGGTCACATCTCCTAATACTTCTCAAACAATTCCACTAACTGAGGATCATGCATTCAACCACATGAGCTGATGGGGACCACAGCCTGCAAGCCATTCTAATAAATCCCATATACATATTCACCAAGCAGTGTGCATAGGAGGTAAGAGCAGGGTGCTGGGTTCCAGGGATCTCAGACTCTGCTTCCACACTCTTGGAAGACGTCACTGGGAAGCATGTTTAAACCGAACATATGTGACATCACTTTTGTTAAATGGAAGTCTGGTAGAAAGGACACAGTGCTGCTGAACACCAGAAACAGCAGCCTCTTTGTTATCTGTAAGGGAAGAAGAAGACAGAAGTCAGGTCTTGTCCTGCTTCTGCTGCAGCTGTGGTGGTTTAAATGCTGCCCTCAGTCCTGGGCATCTGAATACTTGGGCCTGTTTGGGAAGTGTGGCCTTGTTGGAAGGGTGTCACTGGAGTTGGGCTTTGCAAATTTAAAGATCTGTGTCATTTCAAATTTGGTCTCTGCTTCCTGCTTGCAGTTTGAGATGTGAGCCCTCAGCTCTCAGTGTCAGGTTCCAGCTGTCAAGTCTGCCACCTGCTGTCATGCTGTCTTGTAAGTCCAAAGAAACTTCCTCTGTAAGTTACCTTGGTCATGGTGTTTTATTACAGCAAGAGAAAGAGAACTAATATAGGGAGACTTTGGCAGTTTCTGGATACCTATACAGGCAAGCCGTTCCAGCAGCTGCAGGATCAGGGTGTGTCCTGTGCTCACAAGCTCTGTCTCTGGTAGGGGCAGTGACAGTGGAAGGTGGCACTGGGTTCCTTGTCTCAGTGTTCGTGTGAATGAGAGACTTTGACTGGTTGCGAAATAGCCATAGTTCCAACAACAGCAGAAGCTACTCACTCAGCCTCAATGGCAGTCACGTGGTTCCCATCCTGTAACAGGTCTTTCTTTATGTCGCTAGCTCTCTAATAATGACATGGAGACTTTTTATGAATTATGAAAGCTTGGTCTTAGCTTAGGTTTGTTCCCAACTAGCTCTTAAAACTTAAATTAAGCTGTTCATATTAATTTATGTTCTGCCATGTGGCTCTGTTACCTCTCCTAAGTACCATATGTCTGACTTCCTCTGCATCTGGCTGGCAAATCTCCTGTCTCAGATTCTTTCCCAGAGTTCCTATCTCTCCCCGGAAGTCCTGCCTATCTTCTCCTGCCTAGCTATTGGCCATTCAGCTTTTTATTAAACCAATCAGCAGGTGCCTTCGGCAGATGAGGAAGGACAGACACATCTTTATACAGTGTACAAAAAGATTATCCCAACTCTATCCCTTGCCGTCTTTTGCTTCTCTAGTCCCAATAGATGGCACTTTCTAGAGAACTGATGTCTTTTCACTTCTGCAGCTCTCCCAACACTTTCTGAAGTCAGTTTGCTATATTAAATTTCTGCTGTTTGACTACTTAAGAGCGATTTGTATTTTTAAATGTGAATAGCCAGTGATAAGCGCACATGGCACTCAGCGGGACTCCATTTTTCTTCTTTCATGTAGATGTCCTGAGTTCTAGGTGATGGACTGTGTATGACATGTGGTATCTGGAGTAAGGATCTTAGGAGTTCTGGTCGTCTGTCTCCTCCCTCCCTGTTAGCTGTCTTAGGCAACAGAGAGCAACAGCATGGATCCCTGCATTACTGTGAGGAAGAAACTGCTCACCTGCTTCAGCCTCAAGAGTGCTTGCAGGCGTTCCTGTGGTCAGAAGAAAGAAATCTCGTAAGTTTTGAATGGCACCAAATATTTCCTCCAAAATGCAAATGAGGTAAACTTATGTGTAAGACAACTGTGTGAAAACTTTCCTAAAGATTTTTAAGAAATCTTTTTATAATGTCTATTTTATAGGGCAACATCTGGGCCTCATCAGATGCTGTCTTAAACAGCAACTCTCCCCCAAAAAGAGAGCCACTAGCTTAGATTACCTCTTAAATGTCTTCCCAGTTTAAGAATCTACAGCTATCCGTTTAAGATAAAGTAAAATTCTTGGTTTTATCTGCTTGGTTTTAAGACACAGTCTCCCAAATGCTGAGTTACAGGTGTAGGCAATGATGCTAGGCTTGGGAAATAAAATGCTATTAAAATTTTCTGTGATTTCCTAGGTGTGACGGTGCAGTTTGAGAGTGGAGGCAGCGAGTCTCCAGGCTGAGGCCAGAATGGACTACTTAGAGAATTCTGTTTCAAACCAAATCTTGGAAGAGAGGGCACTAAGAGTCCAGAGGCTGGGAGTGTAGCTCTAACTCAGTGGTAGAACAGGTATGTGTTTAGCATGAGAAAGAACCCATGTCCAGTCCCTATCATCCCCTTCCAAAAACCAATTTAAATATATGTCATAATAAATATAATCTTATGAATTATCCTGGCTCTGCACGAAGGCAAGGCACAACTTTCAAAAGGCTTAAAAACCCACTCTGGTTTAAAACGTTTGCAATTTGTACAGGGATTATAAATCACTTTTTTTTTTTTTTTTTTTTTTTTTTTTGGTTTTTCGAGACAGGGTTTCTCTGTGTAGCTTTGCGCCTTTCCTGGGACTCACTTGGTAGTCCAGGCTGGCCTCGAACTCACAGAGATCCGCCTGCCTCTGCCTCCCGAGTGCTGGGATTAAAGGCGTGCGCCACCACCGCCAGGCTTAAATCACTTTTAATCTGTGCTGTCATGTGCCCTGTTCTTGCCCCCGTTAAAAAAGCCCCCCAAAATGTGCAACCCTCAGTTCACACCCCGTGCACCTGAGAACACCGACTCTGACCTCAGCACAGCGGCAGGGGCTGGCGGCCGCCTCACACTTCCTCCGGTCCCACTTCCAGGCCTTCTTCCTCACAGCCAATGGGAAGCCGGGCTTGCGGCCTCCAGGTCCCGGTCGCGCGCATGCGCACTCCCCCTGCGTCCCGGGGACGCTTAGGGATCCGTTTCCTTCTCTTTCTTTCCTGGCTCGCGCGACTCCCCGAAACCCTTCCCACCCTGTTCTCGTCGCGGAGCACGTCGCAGGCCCTCACGAGGTGCCGCTCGGGCCCGGGACGCGGCGGCACCCGGATGTGGAGCCGCTCTCGCCCGGCGGGGACTCGGTGGCGGGGCGGAGCGCGGCGGCGTGCGCGGGGGCTGAGGGAAGCGGGCCCCGGGGCCCGGGCGCCGGCCGCTCGCCGGTCGCTAGCGCCGCTGCCCACCGCGGAGCCGGCTCCCGGGCGCCGAGGCCCGAGCGAGCGGCTGGGGGCCGCTGAGGGCCGGCAGCTTGCCTGGCCTCCCGCTGCGCTCGCCGCCGCGCCCGGGCGAGCCTCCCCCGGCCCTCCGCGCTCCCGGCCGGGGGAGAGCGAGGTTTGCTGGCGGCCGTCGCTGTAGCCCGGCCGGGGAGCCCGGGGCAAGCGGCAGAGCCCCCGCCCACGGCCGCTCGCCCTCGGCCTGCAAGCCGCCGCCTGCGAGCCGCCGCGGGCGGGCCTCCAGTGGGAGCGGGGGCCGCGACGGCCACGGCCCGGCCCGGGCGAAGGGCCCTTCGGGGACCGCTCCGCCGCCCCGGTGAGTCGGCCCCACGGCCCGCGGGGCTCGCTGCCGCCCCCGCCGGTGCCCAGAGTGCGGCCCGGGCCCAGCTCCCTCACGGCTCCCCCGCCGGCGGCGGCGCCCACCGCCCGGGCCCCGATGAGTAACTCCCGCAACAACCGGGTGATGGTGGAGGGGGTCGGCGCCCGCGTCGTGCGCGGCCCAGACTGGAAGTGGGGCAAGCAGGACGGCGGCGAGGGCCATGTGGGCACCGTGCGGAGCTTCGAGAGCCCGGAGGAGGTCGTGGTGGTGTGGGACAACGGCACGGCCGCCAACTACCGCTGCTCCGGGGCCTACGACCTGCGCATCCTGGACAGCGCGCCCACCGGTAAGCGGGGCCAGCGGGTCCGGGGCTGCGCGCGTGGGAGGAAGGGGCGAGGCCAGCCGCGGGACGCCTGCCCTTACAGTGCCAGGCCACGGGAGTTTGAGGTTCCAAACCAGGGGAACAGACAGACAGATGCCCCTCATCTCCAAAGGATTGGTGGAAGGTTTCCTAGGAAGGACCATCAAGTTTCCTAGATGAAAAGCATCGCAGACAACAGATTTCCTCCGCTTTGGGGGCGGGGGGCCGGAGAGGCTGTCAATAAGCATTGACATTAATCAGCCATCAAGTGATAACTGTCTGATGGGAGGCTTGCCTTGCCATATGGTGTGTGGAGTTGCCCGGGGTCCTTCCCTTGGTGCCTTCGCTTTGTTGAGCTAGCCTTTTTCCTTCCCGCCAGTGACACAGAATGATTTATGAGTTCAGATGATAAATACCATTTGGGACTGTGAATATGCATTTTCGTCCACATTGTTTAATTATATATGTTTGTAGCACTAGAGCTGTTGAGTTTGTGGGGTGTGTGTGTGTGTGTGTGTGTGTGTGTGTGTGTGTGTGTGAGAGAGAGAGAGAGAGAGAGAGAGAGAGAGAGAGACTTTCCAAGGGGAAGACAGACCTAGGAAACGCGGTTCTTTTCCTTTGATTAGCATCCTGAGTAACACGATGTTAAAATTCTATACATTCATCCTGAGAATTAGTGATCTTCGTGGTTTACTCCATTATAGGGGTCTATGAGTTATTTACACTATATTTTTTTAATGTGACAAACAGAAGAATTGCTCTCACAAAATAAATGCGATTTATTTTAATGTTTTTACTTGGATCTATTGTTTTGTTTTGTTTTTGTTTTTGTTTTTTCAAGACAGAGTTTCTCTGTTTAGCCCTAGCTGTCCGGGAACTAGGTGTGTAGACCAGGCTGGCCTCGAACTTACAGAGATCCGCCTGCCTCTGCCTCCCTAAAGATGTGGACCACCACCGCCCGGCATAGATATGTTCTTGATAATTGTATTCATTTAGGAAGTTCAAATTAAAAGTGTATTATGCTTCAGAATTCCTAAAGAAGATGCTACTAAGACAGTTTGGCAGAGCCTAATCTTGAAATAGGTGAATCGTCGCTGCTACCAACAGAAAGAAGTTAGCACCAGACAACTCAGTTTTGAACAAGTAATTTATAAACTTTTGTTAAAATTTTAAAGAGAAGATCTCATGAAGTCCATTGTCTTGGACTTAGTGAGTTGATGAGGCTGGCTCTGCTGATCCTCCTGCCTCAGCCTCCCCAAGTGCTGGGACTACAGGCATGTGCCATCATACCCAGCTGAAAATAGTGTTTTCTTTTAGCTAGTTTTTAATGCACCAAAAGGGATGTATGTGTATAACTCAAAAGGGCAGCCATGGTTACCTGTTGTATATTTTTGCAGCTGTAAGCTCAGATAGGAATGCACTAAAAATACAAATTTCTTTACCCTCTTAAGTACAAATAGCAATACACGTAGTTTTCTGCACTTTGCCTGTGTGCACAGGGGTGGATTCCATCTGGGTGTGCAAATGTGTGGAGGTCAGATGCCGATGTCTGCAGTCTTCCTCCGTCAGTTCTTTGCTCTTTGAGTCAGGGTCACTCACGGAACCTGGAGCTCACTGATTGGTTAGTAGGGCTGAGTTGTGAGCTCTAGGGGTCTTCTTGTTACTCTCTCTCCAGCCCTGGGATTGCAGGCACGTGGGAGTCTTGCCTGGCATTTTTTAGCACAGGTACTGAGGATCCCATCTGGGCTGAGCTGGCTCCTCCTTCCTTTTCTGCACTTCGACTTCTTCCATTTAGTGGTTCATATTGGTGATTGTTCCACCTTGTACTCTGTGTGGGTTGACTTTATTCTTCTGGGTGAGCAGTATCCCAGTAGCTGAATGCAGAAGTGTACTTTCCCAGTAGTTTGTTGATAGGTAGTGATATTTTAGGTCTTCTTACAGTGATACCATAGATGAATCCTACAAATCCTTGTGCACATGTCCCATACTTTGCTGCACCAAACTATGCATGCATTAATATTCTCATAGATGTTAATTGATTGCCTTCAAAGATATTTGAAGTTACACTCCCAGCAATTGTATCTGACATATATGCCTGTTTATGCACACTTTAAAGTTTCGGTTTATGCTAGCTCAGTCTGAAGTCTGATCGCAGTATAATAATTTGGAGGAATTTTTAGGATCAGTGATTGTAGGTTTATTGAGAAATTTAAGTGTTGGTTCTAGGGTAGAAGTATTTTTTTCTTCTCAAACATTTATTATTTTCTTTGTGGTGAAAAACTTTAAGATCCCCCTTTCTGCAGCAGAGCACCAGAAAGTACTCTTCTGTCATGATGTTACAGGGGCACATGTCCTGTATGTGTGTTACAAAGCTTGGTGTAAAAGCATGTGCTTTAAGGGTGACTTTAGGAGCCTTTGTTTATCAGGGTGGTCTAACTTACTTACTGATGGAAACAGTTTATCTTGTTCATCTGGTTCTTTTTGAACATACTGTGTTGGTGCTGGGGATGGAGCCCAAGGCCCATGCTGTGCATTCTAGCCCTTAGCAAACGTTTGGAAGCTCTTCTGTGTGCAGGTTCGGTAGTCTTTTAAAGTATTGAACAAACATAAGCTCTTAGCTCTGGTTTTCTCTCTAATGCTTAGAATGCTCCTTTCGTTTTTTTGCTTCAAAATATTTAATGCATAATGTCCATTGACATTATTACATCATTCTGTAAGATTTACTCTGTTATAATCAATACTTGATATTTATTTACACAATAGTGAAAATTACAAAATTCATCTTTCACTCTGAAGTAATTTTAGGCTTACAAAAATATTGTATACTAGTAAGATTTTTCTGGCTTTCACTCATTTCTCTCATTTAATGGTCTTCTTTAATTTTGGGCCATGTTCTCATACTTTGGCTTTCAGAGGTACCAGCCACTAATCATGTAGACTGTCCCTCAGACTGTTTCCTCATGGTTAAATGCCAGTTAAGCATTTTGGCAAGAGTATAGTAGAAATGGTGTTTTGCCCTTTGCAGTATTAGAAGATGCATAATATCCATCAGTTTCGTTACTGTTAACTTAGCAGCTTTTCACCTTCTAGTACTTTTTTCAAGACAGGATTTCTCTGTATCCCTGGCTGTTCTGGAACTCACTCTGTAGACCAGGATGGCCTTGAACTTGGATATCTGCCTGCTTCTGCCTCCAAGTGCTGGGATTAAAGGGGTGAACCACCACTGCCCGGCTCCTTCTAGTACTTTTGTGTTATCAGTGCAATACCAATATGAAAGATGTGAATAATATTTTTCATACTATCATACCAGCACCTTTGACCTTATGAAGGCTGCAAAAGTGTCTTCCTTTGGGTTCAAGAACCAAAGTGAAAATTTCTGCCCTAAGGAACTTTCTCAGCGAACAGTTTTGTATAAAAATGTTCACAGCAGTGTTGGTTGCATGTAAAAGCAAAAAAATTAGGAAAAACTTAAAAAAGTATGTAAATAAGAGAATGATAATAGTATTCATAATAAATGAGACAACTGTGCATATTTGAACAGTGGTGTACTAGTAGTACAGGAGAGATGGTAAACAAATAAAGCTGCAAAAGAAGTCTGTGGAATCTTGGAGTTGAGGTTGCACGTCGGTGGGGGAGCCTTTGTTAGCAGATACAAGACCCTGGCTTTGATCATCAGGAAGGGGAAAAAAGCCCTTTCATATGTTAAAGTGCAAAATACTACTATGGATTACTTAGAGTATTTTAAAAATTACATTTGTGTGTGCGCGCGCGTGTGTATTTGTGTATGCGCTACAGTAGGTGTGGTGGTTCACTCCTTCCACTATGTGAGTCCTGGGAATTGAACCTGGGGATTAAATTGTCAGGCTTTGAGACAGGCATCTCTACTTCCATCTTCCCAACTCTGTTGCAGTGTTTGAATTTATATCCTAGGTTAGTCAGACCTTAAGAAGAGGAACATTTGGTAGGAGTTTGTATTATGTAACTTGGTTCTTAGATACATTTGGCTAATTTGTAGTCACCAAGAAAATGTGGAACTACATGGGTTATTAGTTGGGGGTTGTGGAGTTTATGATCAGGTAGTAGAGTTGACTTTATCATTTAAGTACTGGTTTTAGAGGCTTTGGAGGAAGCATATTTTTACTTTGGATTTGTCCTGTCATCATTGGAGGCAGTACTGTATGATTACCAAGGAGCATGGAGAACGGGAATTAGGATTTTCTCAGTCCCCTCTGCTAGTCTTGCATGTGGCAGAGGTGGTGGTGGTCAGCAAAGTCAGCTTTATTCAGACTCTCCCAGTCATTATTGGTCTAAGAGGTTGGAGTGTGTGTATGGAAACTTTGTGCGCTGGTCTTCTCCTAGCTAAGAGTGTTTCTCAGGTCACATGGGGTAAAGCCCCTCAGGTGTTTGTGATCAGTTGTGGGTTTTAAAGGTGATGACCCAGGATGAAAGGGAAGACATTTTTAGATTTTTCTTTTCTGAGATTCTCTTCTGGTCCATTTCTACAACTATAGGAGAAAGGTATATTGTCCAGGGGGCCTTAGGAGAATAGAGGTTGGGGGAATAAAAGAGAACAGGATGGCAGACCAGGGAAGGGTGAAATGCCATTGATATTGCTGCTTAGTAATAGTTAATAACATCTGCACAGGAAGTAGATTTTCCTGTAGATTCTGACAGCAGATGAAGACTTCTGTAGAATGACTTTATTTCTGACTTGTAGAACAATTTTTAAGTGAAGCCCATCTAAGGTTTTTTTGGATGGGGGGCTGTTGGGAGGTTAGGGATAGAGCTCCGAGTCTTCAGTAATCCACACGTGGTCTCTTCCTATTACTTCCCTTCTATTGGGTTCTGCCTTGGTTGCATTGAGAAGCTCAGTAAGTCAACTTAGTAGACCCTATATTAACATTTCTAACCTTCAGGAAGGAAGCACATGCTGATTCAGCTACTCTGATTCTGCAAGAACTAGTTTCCCCCCTTTTTTTCTACCC